TCACATTAATCTGTTTAAACACTCCTTCATCAAATATACATAGGGTTTTCTGGATTATTTCTCGTGTGCTTCAAAGACCCTCCTATGGTTTGCTAGTTCTCTGTTAATGGAAACCGAAGTTTGTAAGAGTTTTAGGACAAAGGTAAGAGTTAGGTATACCATTGTGTTTTTTTGGTCAGAAATTGATGTTAGCTATTTCCTCTATTATAAAAGAAAGATGACAAAATTACAAACATACTCAACCTTGAATGATAGGAAATAGATACTTCTATCTTTGTAAAATTTTTCTAAGAGCTTATAAGTTCTTGACACCGATAAATTGTTTTCCATGGTTGCAGTGTTACAAGGTACAGATTTTGACTTGTTTTCATAATTACTGTAGAAAAGAATGTTTTGTGGGCATATAGTTATAAGGTTTCAGTTCTCTTGAAAAAGGTTCTTTAAACTTGGGACAAATATTGTCATTTCCTTCCCCTTGTCTCTTTTCTGTGATCCAGCTGTTTCTGTAACAATGCTTGACTATTCTCAGGTGTCTCTAGTAATGCAAAAAAACAAGTATGAGTAAGTATGTGTAGTTAGGCCAGGTGTGCTCCTTTTTCTATGAATTTAGCGTTTCCTTCAAACCTGTCACCATTTGAACTCTGGCAAAATAAAATCCCTCAAATAGACTCAAGTGATTTTGAGCTTGTCTTTAACTAGAAAGTGAAACTGAACCTATATTATCATCTTTCTTCACTAGTGGGGGCAACAATTCTACTCAGCCAGGCTTCAGGATCTCCTTAAATGTATTCCTTCAGAGAAAATAAGGTAGTTTTTAGGTTCTCTCATTGACTGAGGTTGGCCACTCCTTTTCTCTTTGGAAGGAACACTGAAGAATCTGTAGTAGGGCATAAGTGCAATGCAATTTTAATTTTGCTACATACTGAAAAAACTTAGGCACGGCTACTTACCTTAACTATTTCTGCTTTCCTTGAAACAAATCTTTCTGCCTGATATAGTAACACTTAATTGACTAAAGCAGAACAGCAGTGTACTTTGGTTACTTTTTAAAAAATGGAGTAATATTTTTCAGTGACATTTGGAGGTACGGATAACCATCATATAAATTTTGTAAAAACCTGTCTTTACAAAAATACTGCTTGTGCATGTAATAGAATACTTTTTGTTTGAATTTTTGGTTTGGGTTTTTTTTTAAGCTTATGATGTCAAGGAAGAGCCCAATGAATTGAAACTCATTTGAGATCAATTATAATTTTTGCTATTTTTTAAATTCTGAACTCACGTCCTTCCTTGGAAAAGCACAGAATCATTAAGTTCCAGCAAAACTTTCATGGTGCTCCACTTTCTACATTATGTGATTGCTTTGAACCTTCAATGGTTTTTATTTGCATAGTATTCTTTTTCACTGAGATTTTTCAAAATTATCAAATTTTAACCATTCAGGTAAAATAAATCATATGTGACTGCCTCTATACAAATTGCCACTCTATAAATAATAGAAATTGAGGTACCAGAGGGGAACATTTTCACCCAAAAAAAAAAAAAATTTGTGATGTTTTCTTTCAGTGAGTCATCCCAGGAAAAAGAAGTATAATTGAAAGAAATGACACTAATGTAAGAAAGAACTTACCACATTATTTTCTATGTGGTTTTAATTCATACTTGACTGAGCAATTAGAAAAGCCTGGTTCTAGATACTCTAATCAAACCAATGAATAGATATCTATACACACAGTCACACTAGAGTGTGAAATCATGCTCTTCATTTAAAGCCCCAGGATTTAAGCAAGTATTAATTCAATAATATCTGAGACATTTTTCAATAAATATAATGGTGGCTGTCTTTACTTGTATTTCTGGAGCAAAAAGGTGTAACTGCCTTATACCTTTGTTCTTAATCTTGACTACAAAACTCAACATTATAAACATTTAGGCTCATTTAACAAAAGTTCATTGGCTGAAATTACAGATTTTGAATAACTTGTTAATACAAATATACACTACTTTCAGCATAGGAGAACTTAGATATGAGATCAAAGTGGAAAAAAGCTCCTCTGGTCCCTAGATAAAGTTTATTTCTGAATTTTCTTCACTTTTAAATGCAGAATAAAAATTTTATAAAAGATAATTTTAGAAATGTATCAATTAAATTTGGCTCACACTATACTTCAACTCCAGATTTGATTTTAATATACAATCAATCATTGGTTTGACCATTGCCAATAACAGGGGCATGCAGTTGGTATTCAATAACTATATCACAAGGCTAAGTTTTTAAAGACTCTGCCAACTCAGATTATCGTAGTGTATAGAATGTTTCAAAAATTGGAATTCCTACAGAACCTATCAAACAGTTTAAGTCTGAAACAGCACCAGAATGAGAAGTACCATTGTTTTTTTTGATAGGTGAGGAAAAAATTAAAAAGCACAAATATGCATTTCTTATGAATTATGCATTCTTATGAATTATCACAACTAGTGGCAATAATAGTTTGGAATACAAATATAATGATGACTTTCAGTGAATATACTCATTAAAAGATACTGAGGAATATATTTAGTAGTTTACAATATCTATGATCATTAGCAGTCCAAGTAGATGTTAGAGTGACATTCAATCTCAAGATATCTTAAAATATTTACATCACAAATCTCTCAAAATCAAGACAAGTTGGGCAGCTCTCAAGACAGAATTGAACCTATGTGAGAAGGGCAAAGAAATAGTTAAAATTTTACTATACATAGTCTGTTTTCAGCCTGTGAATGTAGTAGTTTCTAGAAGTGATGAAGATTTCCGTGAATATCTCTTTTGTGCCTCAAACTAGTTCTTATTCCTCTATGAATTTCATTGCATCGCATCCCTCCAAAGGTATTTTTATACAAGAGTCAGAGTTTCAGGAAAAGCCCTGTTTGTTTAAACCAAATCTGTGTTTCTCCAAGTGAAATATAATTTATAAGAATATACACACAATCCCCCATTAATCTCTGAACCACCAAAAAAAAGAGTATTGATTATACATGGGAAAGATTATTTTCTTTTGTATTTAATGCAGTGAATGTGTAGTCAACATTACCATTGAACTAAACATCTGAAATTTGAAACAGTGAAACAAATTAGTCATCTGTTAATGGTTACTATCTGCTAGATACATCTCAGGTTGTAGAATATCAGGCTTAGAGACATCTGAGTACACATTGCCAGCATAGAACATAAGTCTCACATAAGGTATATTCGAAAGTTATTTCAAACAATTATTTCATCAATAAACTTTCTGTAGTAACATCAAGTTCATGGAACATTATGTTTTTAGCAACAAACAGTGATGGTATGCAGATGGAAGCATGTCATTTTAAACATGATACATTAAATAGAGCATGTTGAGGTCAAAGCCTTTCTGTAGAAAGGGAATTTAATTGACATTCAAGCATAGTATATAAACAGATCAAAATAGTTCTATTATAAGAAATAGTATTTAACAACTTATCTCTAAAATAAAAATACTTTAAAAATCAGCTTCAATGAGATTAAATTTATCATTAAAGAATCTTCCTTTAGAGTGAAATATACATTTTTCAGCTTTTCTATAACTTTTCCAGCATAACCCCCACTTTTACCCCACGCCAGTCTATTATTAATAAAGTAGTGCAAAGCATTGTTTGCTGCAGTTTAAACTGAGTGTAATCCCCTACCAAGTCAGGGAAGTAAGACATTCTCAACCAACCAAATTATTTTTCTCCAGAAGTATGCTCCCTCAATATACCAGGGAGTAAGATACAAAAACTACTTTAAGAGTCTTGGGAATGCAATTTTTAAGTGTAGATTCTATGATAATAGTGAAACATTGTTAAAGGCAACCACCACCCCCAAGCAGTTTATTTTACAAAACAGGTTTTCATGCATTATCAAGAATTTTTTTTTTAATAAATGTAGTGAAACACTGGCATATCACTTAGCACACTGCATTCTCCTCTACATTAAAATTCACACTAATAACAAAATCATAGTATGAATTAAAGCATTTCAGTAATCTAATGAGAAAGCAGAGTTTTTTTGTGAGAGCACTTGAGTATTAAAATATTTTTAGATGCACAGATACAATCTGACACCAAAAGCAATATGGTTATAGTTTGCTAGTATTGTTGATAACTATACTGCGTTGCTAATTTGCTAACTCTGTATAAATTAAATTAATGGTAGGTATAAAAATTGATAGGCAATTGTTTATAAACTGGCAGTATTTATGTGGTGTAGTCCTGTAGAGATTTTAAGGTTTTAGATGGAATGATTGTTAGAAGGTTTGAAAGTTTTCTTTAGAGAATTGCAGAGTATTGAAGATTCTCTTGAGGGAGTGAATGTACCTTCACTTATTTGCTTAAAATCAGCCTAGTCATACCTAAGTAATTTGCACAGGAGTGAATGTCAGGATCTAAAGCCAGAATATATGTTAAATTGAAATGCATCTATTCCATTATTCAGGCTTTGGGATTTCTCTACCTTTTGAAATGTATAAAACATAGAAAAGTGTAATGGATTACTTTTGAGATAAAAAATAGTCACATTAAAATCAAATTGACATTTACAGTTATGTTGATTTAATCAGAGCACAGGTGAGTATTTAATCCACTTGTAATTAGATAAGTATATATCTTCCAATGTTATCATTCTTATATTTGTTCTTTCAGTGTGTTATATTATTATCCACAGCTAACAAGGCTTTCACACAGCAGTAGCAAAACCTTTATCAAGTTGAGTCTGTACAATAGAAGTATATTTTCAAAGACATATCCCTTTGTACACTATTTACAAATTCTCTCCATCATGATAAAAAGGCAAAATAAATAAAAAGCAGAAAGAAAGGAAATGCTGCTGAGGCTGAGGGCTTTTTCTTTTATCTTCCCAAACAGATGCTGGTCTCCTCAGTGCTGGGAGCTGGCTAACCAAGATTGTTTTTCTTTCTTTTATATGGGCTGTGAGAAGGATCTGGTTTCAATTCTTGATACTGCACCTGTTTAAACAGAGTTCAGAGAAATACTGTTCAGGTGGCCACTTTCTGGCAAAGAAAGGAAAAGCAAAGGAATGAGAGACTGTGCTGGGGGGAAAAAAAGTGCTCACTCTAGAAGCTATATGGGATCTACAGCTGAGATGCAGAAAGCAATAGAACGACAGAACAAGAATAAGAAGGGAAATCCTGTCGGAAACTACATGAAGCCCTGATGTGAACTTTAGTAATGGCCTTCACGAACACATTACATTAAAAGCAAAACTATATCGATTTTAAAGGGCTTGATGATGGTTTCTTACAATTTAGTGTGTGTTTGCTTAATACAGTCGTAATTTCCATCCGGCCCACTGTCACAAAAAAAACAAAAAAAATCGTTTTTTTATTCTGAAAACAGCTGATGGTTAATGGGCATTAACCTCAAAGGATTTCAAAGGTTTTAGAGATATGCTACACTCTTCAAAAAACTCTCCTCACTGACCTCCAAAATATACTTTTTTAAAACTTACTTGTAATTCTTGCAAATTCTGGAAAGATATTTTTTTCTTAATGTCCACTGGCATATTTTGATTTCATCATCTAATATTCCTATTTTCCCCTCTCAGGTCATAGTGACTCCCATCACAAACTCCAGCTGAACTAACTTGGAAGAGTATCCTCCCTGACAGCTCTGGTAGGTTCTTTATGCAACTGCTGTTTCGCCCATTCTCTGTAAGTTCTTCTTAGATAACACCCCAAGTGGGCTAAATTTCTGACTGGTAAAATCTGCTACACAGGCGTTATTAATTTTACTCAGCTCTTGTAAAGCGTTTACATTAGAAGGATATAAATGCTAAAACCCAGAGCCATACTACATTAAAATAATAGCAATAATAATAACAAAACCTACATACCACTTGTACATCTGAAGGGACTCTGGAAAGGAAGTCAAGTAGTTCATTGTTATCAATTGCATATGGACTCCGAAGCTTTTTTGTAAATTTATTGATTCCTGAAAAAGTGATAGATTAAACATTATTTAAATAACCAAAATTGGAGATAAACAGAGCACGTTTCTGGCAAAAGTGTTGTAGCAATTGGAAGATCTAACTTGTATGCCTTGAACCAGTGAACCAATGCACCAAATTTTTTCCCTCTCTTCCTCTTTTTCTCCTTCATTTCTTCCTCCTTCCTCAGTTGCTGCTCTGTCACTTTGTACTGTAGTAGCTTCTTCCAAGCAGGAAAGGGTTTCTATGTGGGAAATAAAGGAGGTTCCCTGGCAGTAATTAGCAATCTCTTGCATTTTTCCCCTCTGTGTTACAGTATACTTAGAAGCCCTACTTTAGTATTTCATTTCTGATGAAACTTCCTTTCCTACTTTTTGGGTTAAGATTTTTAAGGCAAGATGTCTAACTTATTGGTTTCCCCTTTTCCAAAAAATGCATCTTTTTGGAGGTGGGGGTGTGTGTTGCTGTTATGCCCGATCAATGTTTAGAAGACACGTGATCTTTATTTTTTTTTTCAAACCGGAAATGAAAATATTTGCTCCCAGCTTTGTAAAAAAAAATAAACACCTTTACATGAAATCAACAAACTGGTAAAGACTGAGCCATAAACTAGAGCATTTTGGCTCTTCTTCAGGGAGTTCATGCAGAATAAGCTTCTAGAATCTGTCTCCTCATGTAAGACCTATAGTCTTAAATTTCTGGCTAATATTTCAGCAATCACCTACCACCAAAGGAATACTTTTTTTGTTTTATTTTGTTTGATGAAACAAGAGGCCCAAACACATTCTGCAAAGTTACTTTTAAGGCAGCTACTCAGTGAGGCCACTGCAAGTTACATAGCTAGATGTCTGCCGTGGGCTCCAGTTTCTGCAAACCTGGGAGAACAGGGCATTTGCCACCACCTATTGCAACAGAGATGACTCCACAAGCCAAGGCAGGTCTGACCCTAGGTAGACTAATTTTTTCAATAAAGAAGCATCTGCCTTAACTATCAGGAAGAAATGAAAGATGAACATACAATAGGAAGTAAGAACATAGTGGAAATTAAATTATTCTTCCCTTATATAATGAAAGTGCTGTCTAAATTGAATTTCTTTGAATTACAGAAATTAGGAAAGGAAAAAATAATTCCCATTTCCCCCACCTCTCACCCAGGCTGTAAAGGTAATGCTAGTGATACAGGGTAAGAGGGCCTGCTCAATATGTGATAAGTTGGACCAAAAAGAATAGGGAAATAGGAATCTTAAAAGCAGAGGGCTTGGGGTATCAGACTTGAACTCCCTTTATTCCAATATATTTCTTCAAAAGCGTTAAAGAGAAAAAAAATTTTGCTTTCAGTGTAAGCACATGCTTTCCAAAGCTAAGACCCATTTTGGTCCTTTGTGTTTTGTATAGGTTTAGCAATCTTAGGTGTATGTGTAGGCAAGTGAGGGGCAGGTAGAGAATTCTTCTTCTCCCCAGTCTTGTTTATGTATTATTAATGTTGTAGTAGATCCTAGAGATGGAAAGTTGTTTTCCAAACCAAGAATTTTGTCAGGAAAGAAATTGAAGAATGCTGCAACTGACAGTCTCCTAAATGGAGCCCAGGTACATAGGAATCATTGGCATGCAGCATACTCACATTAAAAATTAGGACCGAAAAAAATCACCTTTAATGTAGGTATTTATAGAAACAGTCTTATTTAGTTCACATAAAGGGGTCTTACTAAGGAACCTGCAAGTGCCAAGGACCCTTTTCCCAAATGCTAAAGGTGACCTCTTAAACAGGCAGCCATGTATAGTACCATGTTTACATATACTTCCACAAGATAAAATACAACAGCAAAGAAAGCATATTTTCTTAAATGCACCATATGGATTGAAATGCCTCTGTTTGTATATAAGTGGTGAAAATAAATCAGAGGGATATCTAGACAAAGCTACACTTTGATATATGAAGAATCTTTACAACTCACATGTTTATAGTATGATGAAACCTAGTGTGCCAGATAAGAAAAATACATTTTGCAGGTAGACCTAAATCTTTATACTGTTGTGATTTTTAACTGACCTGTCTCTTTTCATCATGGAGTAGCTTCATGACCATAAATACAGAGAACTGCTGACAGTGTAACTCATCTCTTAAACACAGTTTGTTCGTAGCAGCTAAGACAGTTTGGGGGAGGCTGGGAAGGTTTACTTACCCCAGACAAGGACAATGTATCTCAGCGGAATGCAGTACAGGATGACTGTCAACACACAGAGGGCTACAATGGCCAGCCAGCTTAAGAATGGGACAGTCCAGTTGAAAGTACTGAATGAAAAATTAACACATCAGCAATCTGAGTACTTCATACTTTTTTCAAATATTGAAATACATATGATTCTGACTTAACTTGGGACCTAGTTAGTCGGCATTTCTCTCTGGAATAGATTCCAATTGTAATAGGTTATCAGAAGACACAGGCTAGTTTGTCATAATCTGCTCAATTCCATGAACACAGGGCCCAGGTAAAGAGTCTTGCTGCCAGTTTCTCCAGATTGTCCCAGGTGACTTCAGCATCTAAAGCTCTTGCACTACTTGGGTGACTTCCCACATGGAAAAAGATCTTTATTTTTCTACTACTAAGACAAGTAACCATCCCCGTTTTCTCCAACTTTTCAGAGGGGAATGCCCCTGGGCCTACCATTCTTTCTTCTGTCAACTCTCAGTATTCCCCACATTGGGAATCAAATGTTGCCAGCATGGTTATGTAAAAAATCCTCTGAATGTTAGAATTCCTTAGAGGAATACTCACTTCCTACCTCAGCTATGTTTCAAATAGAACTGGAAATCAGGAAAGAACAGAACAGTTAGCCTTGCAAAACTTCACCTCTCATCATTGACCTTCTTCCCAGAAATACATAGGTAATTACGAAATAAAATCAGCATTTCTTACTATTATCTCTCATGTACTTCTTGTGAAGGAGAGCATTCTGGCAAAAGTAATTGGTAATGGAGAAGGCTGAGTCAGAGAAGGCTGCAAGACTCAGTATTGACGATAAGACAGAATAGCAAACAGAAACAAGACCAATGAACAGAATAAGTTACAAAAAAAAAAAAAGTACTGAGGAGATGGGAAGGAATTTACTGAGACAAAAAGGGAAAAGAAAAATGAAGACAAAGGCAAAAAATATGGAGTAGAAAATCAGGAAAATGGAACATGGGACGATTGTAATCATTTAAGCCTTTTTGTGTGGAAGCCAGTCTGGTACTTAAGAGTGTGCCAAAATTATAAAGAAAATAGAAACACTATATAGAGCCTCCAGGGTTGGGCATATAAATATATCACCATTTACAAGCATACCATCGCATTCTTTCAAATTTCTCCTAAGAGTTCATTCACTAAAGAGGAACTAACAAACATATCATGTCGTGTGACCAAGAAGTTAGCAGATCTGTATTCAAAGCCTAGATTCTGTTATGTGGATTTAGCTGAGTCAACCTCTCTAACCCTTTCTCCATTTGTAAAATGGGATAGCTTTTATTCTGTCAAGAATAAAAAAGTCGTTGTGATGGTAACATGTTTATGTGAATCAAGTTGAAATTATTAGAACTAATCAACTCAAGGAATTTCAATTATGGTACTTTTTTCTTATGAGACAGTGAGAAGGGCCCCTAAGACACTTCAGAAAAACGTATTGTTCAGGTAGAAAAATGTTACTGTCTTTTATTTCTTCTAATTTCCTGGTACTGTATGTTGTACTTACTTGAGGTGAGTTTTTTCAGGGCAATTTTTTCCCAATAAAGGATGATTGCTAAGAGATTTTCTTCTATACAGTGCCTCAGCATAATTAGTAATTAGTTGTTCTGTAGCTTTGTGGCACGTAGCTTGCTTTTTGTCTCTCTCTAGGTCAAAATTATTGCCTAAAATTGTTTTTTCTACCAAATGAGCCAATGTTGGGTCAATCTGGGTATTCTATTTTCAGTAACCCTTCGGGTCTGGCTTTTCTGTCTTTGTCTTTTTCCTCTTATGGTCAACTGTGAGCATCTGTAACTGTCACCAGGTAAAGGATCATGCCTTCCCTTCCTGATGGACACCTTTGCTTCTGCTTGCTTGTGGAGAGAACAGAAGGCTGAGGGTCTGCTTGCTTTCCTGCAGCTCAGCTCAGAGCTATCCATCACACTACTCCATGTGTGAGGGCACTGGCTCTTCACTCAGAAAACCTTCCTTCTGGGCAGCCCCACTGAAGAACTCCCTGTGTTCTTATTACTCCTATTGGAAGGATAAATGGCAAAGAATCTCAGTGTGGCTGTTAGAAAAAAAAAAAAAAAGACTGCCCTTTTCTATTTCTACTCTCTGCATTATGGAATCTAAATCTAGAATATGATCTTCCCCCAAAAAAGGATGCAATTCAAGAAAGTTCTGGAAAGATTATTTAGTAACAAGACATGGTAATTATAGAGCCCTTTCATTTTGTGCTTAAAGATTGCTTCTGAATCTGCTTTCTGGATAGATGCTTTAAATTTCATGTGACCCCAGGAGAATTTCTCTTTTAGCATGCAAAAGATCATTTTGCGGGAGAGATGGGTCCTACAAGACTCACTGGCTCCTATGCCATATTCCTGTACCTTAGCTTAGCATAGGAAGTTCTACAAAACCCAGGTTTTCCAAAGGCTGGAACACCACCAGGATCTGGTCATATCCCGTAGCTAGTCATCATGTTTTCCAGCCAAGCATCTGTTCTGAGGCCTTCTACCACCTAGAGTTACAAAGGAGCTGCTTCTCAGGCATTCACTAGCCTGATCCTTGGTCTTTTGGTATAAATGAGATGTTTCTGTCAGGTATTAGCTCACAGTGTACCCCAGATAAAAGACAACACTCAATGGGGAAATGCCCCAAATTCATGGCTTCATACTGTTTCAGTGGATAGTGTGTAGAGGACAGGTAAATATTATTGGAGATGGAAGAAAATACACAGAGGAAGGAGGAGAGAGAAAAGATATGGGAACAGTCTTCAGAAAGCCAAAACCGAATGCTTCCTAAAGGCACAGCTGGGAGTGAGGGGGGCTGTTCTGTCTGATATAATAAAGTAGAAACTCAACACCTGGACATGTGGGAATATATCAAACAAAATTATTATACAAAACAAAATGCATTATCCCTTGTAACATGAAAGGCACCAAATGAGTGACTCATACCTTTAGTTTAAATAATTTACTCCTTTTCAAATTCATTGTATGCTCAAGGATTCAAATCTGTAGAAAACTTTTGGTTATGAATAATAAACAAAGAACAGATACATGAAACTAGGAAAATAAAGGTTTCTCCGGAATTTGGCACCCCTTCTTGAGTAGACCATTAGCAATCATTATATAGGCCAATTTTTACATAATTTAGAAGTATGTAATACTTTTAACTGGTAATTCTTATAAATATATCTTGTTTTTAAAAAAATATAACACTGTTTTAAGTAAAACATAAGTATATAAGATTAAGAATTTAAGTTTCTTAATTTTGCATTAGAACTCAGTGAAGATATATTTCCTTATTTTAAAAAATTAAGGAATAGGGATTCGGTTTTTATAATTTTAAAAATTGTATTTTCTAAATGACAAATCATTAGTTTATTGATAATTATGATCTCAGCTATTTAAATACATACTTGAAAAAATATTTTTACAGGGTACCATAAATACAATTTTTTAAAAAATTTAGTCACTTGATGAAAATGTAACTAGACCAATAATAAAATGTAGGTGTATCTTAATTACCTGAAATTCTCATTTAGCTTGGTTTATTTTTTCCTATCACAGTTTCATACTCCGTTTAAGAACAAAGTCTTTCACAGTGAAAAATGTGCTAAAATTTAGGACGGTGTTATTTCTTCAAAGCTACAAGTGTGACTTCTTTCCAACCAATATGTTCTAAATTTCAGGAAGGAAATTGACAGAACTTTCATAAAGCCAAAGACTGGCAGAAATAAAGTAAATAATGATAAAACTGAGCAATAGATCACCCAGAAGGAGTGTCCCCTGCCAAAAGGAATGTGGCATTTCACCCTGTGAGAAACAAATAGACACCCTGTCCTACGGAAGACTGGGGCTTACATGTCACCGTCACTCACTTCTTTATCCTTTCGCCAAAGGAAGCCACTTCATCTAGGATGTTCTGGACACTGACACATACCTCCTGGATGGCGTAGATTTTATTTATAAATCCCTTTTTTTCACTGTCCTAAAATGCAATAAAAAAAAAAAAATTCTGTATGAGTAAAGGTTTTCTTCATTGCTTGAATTCTTTGTGTTGTCCCTCTCTTACATTTTTAAATAAACTTCATTTTTATGTGTGTATAAATGGATAATTGGAACCCATGAAAATATCAGGATTTTAAGGGACATGAGGAGGAAAGGGACCCAGCATCATGGATTTGTGCTTACAAAGGTGGCTGCAAAGCAAGAGACTTGGGTTCCATTGTTCTTGTCCTGATGAGCAGAAGAAACATTTTGGGGAGGAAGGTATAAGACAGAGGGGAGGTCCCAGAATTACTAAACCCAGATTCTACAGTGCTTCTGGATCCACTGAGACACTACTTAGTGGACCCATTTTTTTGATCCCACATACCCAGCTTTTGTTGTGGCTCAGATATTTCAGCAGCAGAGAATGCTGGATGCAATTGAGATTTGTGAGCAATGAAAACTGCAAAAAACACAAACCACCAAAACCTGAAATCTATGTGGATACTGCTTAGATCATATACATACTAAGCCTGACCAACTTCTTAAAAATAAGTCATATATTATATACAGTAGTATATGCTGTATTAGGTTCTAACTAAACATTTTTTTTCTTTTTTTTTGTACTTAGTTCTTCATTTTAAAACGTTGAATTTAAGCAAAGCTGGTGTGCTTCAGGTAATAGATGGTTGGAGATTGAACATTAAACCACCTAAAGAGTGGTGTGAGCCTAGGAGAGATGTGCATATTTTGCAATTTTAGACCCAAAGGAAGAAATAGTGGTGGCCTTTCACAATTGAAAATTCTGCTTAGTAGCCTGGCATCACAGGCACTTGCCTAGGCTGTTTGGTGGAGACCATCCAACCCTGATTCTTTGACTCCATTCCTCCATGCCAGCTTGAATATCTGTGGAAATGTAGATCCAATTTCATTACTTTAACTTCTTTGAACACTTGCACACTATGCCAGAACACTTGAGACCTCATGTGGCAGTCAGTGCTTGCTGAAAGCAGCCAGGAAGCTAGAATAATAATGTCATGTTGCACATTTACATACTGACTTTCATTTCAGAAGAGTCTAAAGCACTCTACACTGTGAACACTTGGCCAGGGCTGGCATTCCGCCACCTCAGAAATAAGGCAAGTGAATGTGTGTGCCTCCTCCAAGGACAACAGCATACACTGGGACTGAGGACATGGAGGCCAGTTTTATAACAATCTTTGGTATAGATACCAATTACTTAGAGCCTTCATTTTAAATTCAATTCATATGAAGAAATTTGTCTATATTATTCATCTTGCTTATGCCAAAATGGATTGTCAGGTAGATGAGATGCATAAAGCATAATAATGGTATCGGGAACAGTTAGCCACTCAGGGTTCCCTACTGTCTTCAGAAGTCACCATTCACTTGTCATGACAGACGGTGCATCAATTTCTTATCTTTCACACTTTCCAGTAATAAAGTGTTAGTTTCATCTATACAATTGTGTACGGTAGAGTAAAATGAATAACCAGTGGCTTTTTCCTGTTCCTTTCAAAACTACGAAGTTGGACTGCCCCAATTCTGTGTCCCGTAGTATTCTCATCTCAAATACCAGCTAAGTTCATTTATGTCTATGAAGCAAAGTACTGGTAAATATTTAAGCACATACAGAATAAATCAAACCAGTTGAAGCATGCTGGTTGTACAATGAAAGTCCATTGAGAATGTCTTCCAGCTCAAAATTATGTGAAAAAATATTTTGCAGTAACAAATATATGAAATACCTAGGTAGAACCTCAGCAAGATAGGTACAAAACATATACGATTTTTTTTCAGTTGAATATATAGGTTTAGTGAAATTTCAAGCAAATCCTAATATTCAGAGTGGAGAAAATTGGGAGAACTTAATAGTGTTTCTAAAATCTGTTTGGACCAGTAAATAGGTAAGTATAGCTAAGAAATTTTACAAAAGAGAAATCATGAGGAGGCATTCAGTGTACTCCATATTTAATTAAAATGAGATATGGGCATAAAACGATTGATATACGATAAGGTGTCATACACAAAGGAAATAAGGAAGTACTGTTATTGGGCAGTTGTGTTAACTATTTGGAGAAAGTTATGTTAAATCCTACTTAAAATAGACTATCAAATCTGAGATAGCCCAAATCTATCTTAATATCTACCTCAAACAGCCCCAAATGCATTCCATATTAATTTTAAGAAATTAGTATCTATCACAATCAAGTCAGCTTCAACCCTGAGATGCAAGGCTGGTTCAACATTCACAAATCAATAAAGTAATTCATAACATAAACAGATCTAAAAACCACATGATTATTTCAATAGATGCAAAAAGAGATCTTCGATAACATTCAACATCCCTTCAAATTAAAAACTCAATAAACTAGGTGTTAACAGAACACACCTCAAAATAATAAGGGCCATTTATGACAAACCCACAGCCAATATCATACTGAATAGGCAAAAACTGGAAGCATTCCCCTTGAAATCTGGCACAAGACAAGGATGCCCTCTCTCAACACATCTATACAACAGTATTGGAAGTTCTGGTCAGGGCAATCAGGTCAGAGAAGGAAATAAAGGATATTCACATAGGAAGAGAGGAAGTCAAACTGTCTCTGTTTGCAGATGACATGATCCTATATCTTAAAAACCCTATCATCTCAATCATAAACTTTTTTTT